TTGTACGTTCAGTGTTTACAAACAAAGATGTCGTCGGCCTTTTCAATAGACTATCTGTAGAAATCAATAGAAATCTGTACGTAACAGAATTTAGTGTGAAACCAACCAACAACCAACAAATGGCTTACAATCAACAAGTGTAGTATACAATAAACTAGGTTTACAAATCAATACAAATTACTGAACAGCAAGTACAATGGCAGTACAATATTCAATGGCAGTATCAAGTACAAAATGTGATGGCAGTGGTGATATCAAAAACCTCAGTGATAATAATATTCACCGATCTGCAACGGTGGTTAAGTTTCAGAGATAGGCCTTGGCTGGGAATCTGGGGTGATAAGTGATCTTCACACGAAAACTGGTCTTGATGTAATGTCAGATGAAATTTGAGATGAATTGAGAACGCGCCCGCTCAACTTAAATAGTCTAACCAGCTTCCAACAGTTTCCACACAGTACTTTACCAGTCCACTATTACTTGAACATCACAGAGTTTTTCATAAGTTTCTATAACGCTTGACATCCATCCATGCTATTCCGGGAGTAACAGATAATTCGAGCATCTAAATATATTAACTTCCTCACCACTGCTTACATTAAATAGTACTTCATTCCTGACAACTAATAATACAATGCAATGAACTTCTCCTGAATCTCAACAGAAACAATGTGATCCAGTTACAATCATTGTTTAACACTCAGTTACACTGCCATGTAACAATAAATTGGGGTCTTGCTGGTTTTGGCCGCCTGATCACCTCAATGTATTTCTTGTTGGGTGAAAATGTTGGCTGGTTGGTTGGTTGGTTGTTTTACGCCGCACTCAGCAATATTCCAGCAATATGACGGCGGTCTGTAAATAATCGAGTCTGGACCAGACAATCCAGTGATTGATATCATGAGCATCGATCTACGCAATTGGGATCAATGACAAGTCAGCGAGCCTGACCACCCGGTCCCGTTAGTCGCCTCTTACGACAAGCATGGTCGTCATCTACAACAAGCATGGGTTGCTGAAGACCTATTCTACCCCGGATCTTCACGGGTCGGGTGAACATGTGTAAAAATGAGTAAATATTATAGTTTCTTGGAAGTGTATCCAAGACAGTGTAAGACTCTGTGGTTAGTTGAGGTGGTTGTGCAGGTCAAAATTCATTTTAAGAATGTTACATCTACGTCTCATATTTCACCACAACCCTGAGAAAGTGAGTGATCGGGAAACAGGAGATCAGGAAATACTGATACTAATGATAACGCCTACATGTGTGCAATGTCAAATCTTGCCTATATCGTTTACTAATGATAACGCCTATATGTGTGAATGTCAAATCTTGCCTACATCGTTTACTGATGATAACGTCTATATCTATTTTATTCAATCTTGCCTACATCGTTTACTGATGATAACGCCTATATCTGGACAGTAACTTATCTTGCCTGTATCGTTTACTTTTGATGTGTGCAATGTCAAATCTTGCCTACATCGTTTACTGATGAATAACGCCTATATCCGTACAGTAACTTATCTAGCCTGTATCGTTTACTGAATATAACGCCTTTATTACCCACGTGGTGAAGATACAGGTGGTAAGATACTAAATCCGTAAGTCACACGTGTGTCGTACAAGGTTGGCCTTGTTTTATTCGTTTTGATTGGATAACCGTGACCTCTGTCACACCGGGACTACTTTTTTCATTCATAAAAAATCGCGAGACGTCATTCATTTTGCGATTACAAGGCAGAACTGAAGAAATTCATGAGAACGAGAGGTATTTACAAACACTTTATTAAACCAAACAAGATAGTCACACGCAAATTCGGTTTGCATTCAATGTAAGTTATGCATAGAGCTCCTACAGACGTATAATCGAGCTAGATCTATAAATCGATTTACAATGTACGACTGCCGATCGAGCGCGTCCCTTGAGCGTGACGCACCCGACCTTTTTTCGCAACTTTCAATTTGATTTAACGGAAAAGGATAAGCGTGGTGAAATGAAGTCTGTTTAAACTATCTGGACAGATATCTAGACTTACTTGGGATGATCCGGTTGTGCCATCAGTGTCCCCTTTGAAGCGTATTTTGTGGCGCTGTTTCGGTAGGTGTTGTTCATGAATGAACGAACACGACAGCACGACCAGATCACTTAAAGTTCCGATAAAAATCATTCGAAAACTCCGTGGAAGTGTGCCTGACTTCTGATTTTGTGGCCCCCAACATCCCAAATGTGAACAGTAACATTCCCTATCTCTAGCTTAAAACGCTGTGAGTGGATCGCGGTTGTCTTTTCTTATTCCGGTGGCGACCTTGCCCTTCGATCGTTCGAAGCTGTCACTGACATGCAAGCAGACTTGAGTTTGTTGATTTTCACGTCTTCAGTAAAGGGTGGTACAGTTAACATGAATGTCTTTGGCGAACAGTCTGATTTCCCTCTTCCAAAATGGTACGGACATGATATAAATTCAGCTGATAGATCAAGGAAACCGAACCAATTTGATTGCACAGACAGGACCCCGGCAGTGTGACCGACTGTTGGTCCGATATTCAAAGCGCGGCGCTAATGTGACATTTCAAATTTTCTTATGGGTGTCCTGCGTACTAACAACATGGCGCTTGAATTACCATAAGTTGAAGACTTTCTTCCAAAAGGATCTTGAGCGTCGGTGCTGGTTTGTTTGCAAACAGAACAGCAGGCGCATGTTGTTTATACGTATGCATAAACATGTCAACAATGCCCATATTTGGTCTTATATCAATATTCATGCGCAACCAGATTTTGCAACCGGTTTCAGTTTGGCCTGTCAACGAACGAAAGTTGTTATGTATTTACACTTAAATATATATTTAACGTGGGTAATAAATAAAATACCACACTCATTCTCGTTAGATACCATTTTTACGAAACTCGTGAACTTTCTGTGGTATATCTGACCTCGCTTTCGCTCGGTCAGATACCATAGAAAGTCCACTCGTTTCGTAAAAATGGTATCTAACGAGAATGAGTGTAGTATTCTCTATATATCTCTGCCTACAACGTTTACTATTTATAGCGCTTATATCTCTACAGTATCTAATTTTGCCTACATCGTTTACTATTGATAACGCCTATATCTCCACATTACTAGTATCTAATCTTGCCTTCCTCGTTTACTGAATATAACGCCTATCGTTTACTATGGACAGCGTTTATATCTCTACATAATCTAAATTTGCCTACATCGTTTACTATTGATAACGCCCATATCTCTGCCAACATCGTTTACTATTGAAAGCGCTTATACATGTATCTCTACATTATCTAATTTTGTCTACATCGTTTACTATTGACAGCGTTTATATCTCTACATTATCAAAATTTGCCTACATCGTTTTCTATTGATAACGCCTATATCTCCACATTACTAGTATCTAATCTTCCCTTTCTCGTTTACTGAATATAACGCCTACATTCCTGCCTATATCGTTTACTATTCAAAGCGCTTATATCTCTACATTATCTAATTTTGCCTACATCGATCGTTTATTATTGATAACACCTATATCTCTACATTACTAGTATCTAATCTTGCCTTCTTCGTTTACTGAATATTACGCCTATCGTTTACTATGGACAGCGTTTATATCTCTACATAATCTAATTTTGCCTACATCGTTTACTATTGATGACGCCCATATCTCTGCCAACATCGTTTACTATTGATAGCGCTTATACATGTATCTCTACATTATCTAATTTTGTCTACATCGTTTACTATTGACAGCGTTTATATCTCTACATTATCTAATTTTGCCTACATCGTTTACTATTGATAACACCTATATCTCTACATTACTAGTATCTAATCTTGCCTCCCTCGTTTACTGAATATAACGCCTATATTTGTGCAATGTCAAATCTTGCCAACATGGTTCACTGATGATACTTTTACGTTGTTTGAGTAAAAACTGTGTATTGTTTTTTTATTGTCAGCGAATGCCAATAAAACAGATAAACAATTTAGAGACCAATTAGTTCGTCTAAAAGTCTAATACTACATACATTACTTGTTAAAACATCCGTCATTCACATACATTCACATTTCTGCCATTAGAAATTCCATTACCATAAGATAAACCTTTCCTGTTGCCTCCAGAGGGGGTATTTTTTATAATGGAAGGAGAAATATAAAACAAATACGCGCTCTTGGAAATGAAACCAATCTCCAAAGCGGCCGTTTTGTTAGGCGTAAAAACCTGGTTTCAAGTCACGCGATTTGAAAATCAACTTGAAGCATTCAGACCACCGACGTCATTTGCCATAACTATGGAAGGACGTTAGACACCAGAGATGGTATACAGCTATTTTGAGTGAAGGTAGGTAATTGAGGAAATATATGATCGCTTATAGAACACAGCGGTCTATTCTACATCGGAACTGATTATGAATTACAAAGTCACCAAAATACATAAGATCCATAGACACCCTAGCGCGCGGTTTGAGAGTGGGGAGCGTTGATAAGTTAATACGGCTGTGTTAAGATTCACGCTTAGCGGACAGTAGCAGTGTCGTAGATCTTTACATCAGCGGTTGGGGTGGGTTGGGAGGCAAGTGATGGGGGGTGCGCATCTCTCTCTCTCTCTCTCTCTCTCTCTCTCTCTCTCTCTCACACACACACACATCCCCAAATTTTAACACTCTGTAGCATTGTACTGTTATAATGTATATATATATATAATATATATATATAATTATATATATATATATACATGTATGTATGTATATAGATTATGTTTTATCTCGTCAAAGGTTTATCTTGTTTGTTTGTTGTTTTACGCCGCACTCAGCAATATTCCAGCTATATGACGGCGGTCTGTGAATAAAAGAGTCTGGACTAGACAATCCAGTGATTGACATCATACGCACTTGATACGCAACTCTTGAGGGCCAATCAGAAGACAGCAGCGGTAACGGTAACCCAAAGATGCTTGGATTGAAGAGTACGATGATGTAGTAAGCACACATTCTTGGATGTGTTCGTCCCACAAGTAGACTCACAGAGCCCAAGTTACTTGAAGTTTTCCTACTGCCACATTTCGTCTTTAAAGACACATTTTGAATGCACATCACCACAATCAGGGCATGTTTGCTTATCCGAACCATACTGTGGAAATTTGCAGTGAAATGTGTGTGACGGTTTCCATGACTACCAAGGTATTCCGAGGCTCTTCCTCCGCCCAAGAAGAGACGCTTTGACGTAAATAGCTCACGGAAACTAAAAATAGCACAATCGATACAGTGGGGGCTGGAACCGGCATAGCAAAGCACGCGGAGTCACAATCATGTCACCCCTGGGATACGAAGCGCGAGGGGTTGTCCAAGAAGGGAGGGAGCCCATGAGGGGGTGAGGATTTCGGGTCCAAGGAGAGCTTTTGAATTGAAATCTTCCATGTGTTCCCCATGTGGATGCTGAGGTGACTGGTGGATTGAAATATACAAGTTGGGAACACTTGGAGCGGCTACCGTGGCGGCGTGAGAGGAAATGCCCAACTTGGTATGATCATGCTGGTGAGTTGAAATCAACAACTTTTTTCTGCAGTTCATTTCTCAGTTGTCTTCCAAATGTGATGCAAGGGATTACACGTTTGAAACATATTTCACGAGCAATATCAATTTATGTTTATCTACAACAAAAAATATTGTAATATTTTGGAATGGAATAAGGATAAGGCTCTTTTCATATTTTGTATGAGCGACATTTTCGGACTCGACAAACTGCTCTGTCCGAAATAATACATTTATGCCTTGGTAAAGAGCAGAATCTTATATGCATGGGAGTCATCAGATGTATCCTCATATTATTGGGTTTCGGACGTATAGAAAATATTCGTAATTGTTTGGCTAGTCATACGAACAACTGTGAACCATCTCGCACTTACAAAGACAACTTTATCTTAAAAACAAGCTATCATCTGAGTTTTTACGTTGTTTATGTGACGCTACTTTCCCCGTTAAAGTGCGAATAATCGCGATAAACATAGCCGTCCGAAGACGAAAGGTATCCGAAAACATAAAATCCGACTATATATATTGTCAGAAATGATATATCCATAAGTTATGACATATAAACAGCTACTGACGGCCGCGATTCCTCAAGACATCGTAGACCTGTATGGCTGCTCTTGTAGAACTACCTAGCGGGACTGTGGATTTCGGAATGTGAAGAATCCCCGGCTTTATCACAACACTCGGAGAGTACGGTATACATGCTGTAACTAGGGAACAGGTTCCTGTACATTCCGCGGAGGTTGATATATGACCCGAGGCTAACTAATTATTCATACCGACAATGCATTTCTTTCGCCAATCCATAACTGCCACCATTGCCACGGTAATCTTACACGTGGAATCAAGCAGTTTGCATTTGCACCTGTGATTACTTTGCATATGATTTATTCACAAGATTTGTTAGTTTGTTTATAGTCAGCAATTCTGCTAATATGAAGGCAGGGTCTAAATAGCTGCCGTCAGGAACGATGAGATAAAATTACCCAAATCATCGAGCCTGACCATCCGATCCAATTAGTCGCCTAGACAAGCATAGCCTAGTGAGGACCTTTTATATCCCCACATGGGTATAATCTTATTATATAACACGTTTACATTAATGCCCACATCATGTTTTGTTCCTTAAACAAATACAGTAAACTACGGTTATAACGAACACGTTTATAACAAACTAACGGATATAACGAACTAACGTTTTAGTCCCGACTATATGCTGTAGTTATGCTGTATATATGCTTATAACGAATTACGGTTATAACGAACTAAAATTAGTAGTCCTTTTGAGTTCGTTATAACCGTAGTTTACTGTATAGAAAACATAAACGGCAGCGCCAGAGAATAACCAGTCTCGATTATCAAACTGATTCCATCGGGTGTAAAAGGCAACATGGCGGTAAAGGTTGGATAAATGGATCATAGAAAATTAGTGATGACACCAGACGTTCACGAAAAGGGTAAGCATGTCCTGCTCTAAAGAACACATGGTTTGACAATGATCGTCTTTGATGCTTTAAAGTATTAAATGCTATTTAAGAAGATCCGTTTTATACATAATATAATAAAAAAATATTTGTCAAAACTACAGGCCCCAATGGTAACCTCGTGTAATCTAATGGTTACATCGTTCGTTCGCCGACTCTACCCCTAGTTCTATTCCCCTACAGGAATACAATGTTTAAAGAAATTTATTGGTGTCCCAAAAATAATTGGTTGCTAAGAACGTCGTTTAACCTGATACGCACTATCCAATGTTTAGTTATCTCCTACTACAGTATATATATATTTCGTAGGCTGCGGCGACTCACAGTCAAACCAATGAATTACAGTTACTCATTCCTCATAGGCGAGATATCGCCCCGTGGCACAAACTCTATCAATGTCACCCAGGGCTATAAGATACATGGTAACGATGACTTACGCATCTGCCTGTATTTTCTTAGATTCCGTTGATACATGACAGCCGTTATTTCATCTACCACGGTGATGTATGGAGAACGCTCGTATTTCCAAAGAGCTATGGTAGTCCAGTAGACAATGAAAGATGGTTCTTAATTGCCTGATGGTGCAGGCTGCTACCAAACTAATATGGAGGCCGCCTCTGGGACTGAGAATGGTCGTTTTGGTGGTTCAAGATGTCTACTGTTGTTGGGGCGTTTTATACGTCCTCGTTACAATGGTTGAAATGTAATTTTAAGAAACATATATACTCACGCTCATTATAGTCACTCTTATACTAAAACGCACATATCGAGGGGTGGGGTGACGATAATTCTGAACACGGGTATATCTGAAACGCAAAGCGGCCATATTGTTGTTAGGAGCATACATTCAATGGCGATGTGTCGTCATTGACAGACAGGAACATCGCCTGTATTCAGGACTAGGTGGTATATTTAGAAGACTTCTCTACTTCACGAGTTTCTCGAATACGTACAGTTAATGTTACTTGCGGTGATGTCATTCCAAGGAAGTAATGCTAGGTTCGGCATGTACGTGCAGGTATGCTGGCCCAAAATAACAGTCAGTATTTACGGAAACCGTCGTGGTTAAACCCACACACTTTCAATGATAGAAGAATGCAGTCTTCATGCGTGATATTTTGCCACCTCGTACCATTCAACAAGAGCCAAAGAATGGCGATTACATGACATGGTATTTCCAGCAGGGCATCTTGTCAGCACTGGCATGTGGAGAAGAAAGTTTATTTGTATGCAATAAACTGATATGTTTCAGTGAAAAGGTGCACTATAACTTTAATGTCTGGTTAAGATACCACGCAACATACGTAGTATATATTCGATAAACATCAGAGCCTGCAGCAACTCCTTCTTGAACCCCAATCCAGACTCGGTGAACCCTCGCCCTAACTGTGTATATTGTAGCGACTACAGGCGAACATGTGATCTCCTCCTGGTGAGTCTGGGTCTGCGGGTAGGTCAGACGGTGCGTTCTTGAATTTCATTACCATACGAACTACATGCGAGTAACGAAACATGCAGCTTAAAGCACTTGGACGTTTTTCGAAATATGCCTCTGTTCACCAAGCAGTGAATGGGTACCTGGTAGGATGAGATGGTAATGTGACTGTTAACCTTCTAGAGCCTCACGGGAAGCTTGGCTTGTATAATCCCCAGGGAGCTGAGAATGAAAATCGAGCCTACACCAATCCTTTGACCAGTGTTAGAATGTGTCGCTATGAGCATGATTCAGGTTGTGGATATATAAACACAAATATACACAAAATTAATATACACATTATTATTATTATTATTATTATTATTATTATTATTATTATTATTATTATTATTATTATTAAGCATTTTCTGGCTAAATATTTCGTTATTTACATGTAGTTCGCTTCTAAGGAAAAACCCCTTGTGCCCGAAGTTGATTGTCCTCTGATGTTTGGTATCCGAAGTTGACTGGATTTTGTGAGACAAGTAGTGTACGTACAGATGACAACGTACGCCCCTGTAAAACGAACCGTAAACATACGTTAATAAACGAATTCGTCATATGTATCAAACTCATACAGGGTGGCCTACGTGTCAAAAACTACAACTTGCCATGCACGCATAACTGTCGGCGAAACATGCACGCATCACAGTCGACGAAACATTTGTACATTACAGCCGACGAACCATGCACGCATTACAGTCGACGAAACATGCACGCATTACAGTCGAAGAACCATACACGCATTACAGTCGACGAAACATGCACGCATTACAGTCGAAGAACCATACACGCATTACAGTCGACGAAACATGCACGCATTACAGTCGAAGAACCATACACGCATTACAGTCGACGAAACATGCACGCATTACAGTCGAAGAACCATACACGCATTACAGTCGACGAAACATGCACGCATTACAGTCGAAGAACCATACACGCATTACAGTCGACGAAACATGCACGCATTACAGTCGAAGAACCATACACGCATTACAGTCGACGAAACATGCACGCATTACAGTCGAAGAACCATACACGCATTACAGTCGACGAAACATATACGCATTACAGTCGACGAAACATTTGCACATTACAGCCGACAAACCATGCACACATACAGCCGACGAAACATGTACACATCACAGGCGACGAACCATGCACGCATTACAGTCGACAAACCATGCACACATACAACCGACGAAACATGTACACATCACAGGCGACGAACCATGCACGCATTACAGTCGACGAAACATTTGCACATTAAAGTCGACGAACTATGCATGCATTACAGTCGGCGAAACATGCACGCATTACAGTCGAAGAACCATGCACGCATTACAGTCGAAGAACCATACACGTATTACAGCCGACGAAACATATACGCGTTAGTCAATACATTGTTCACACAAATTGAACGAAGTCATCTTGAGGAGTGCCACTGTATATCTCGTACTGAGGCTCAGAGTGAGTCAGTTTGCTTTATGAAGCAGTATTTCAGTTATACCACGGCGTGTCAGCTTTATGTCGGATGCAAGTAAGAAGTGATGCGGGTCTCAGATGTTTACCACTGTCGGTAAACACAGAGCGTGGGTGTGGTGTTAACAGACTTAGACACACGATCAGTGCGAACCTGGATTCGAACTCACGAGTATTAGGTTTTGCCACGCCCAGGAGATTCAACACATCACAGAAACATTGCGGCGTCTTTGGCATCCGTACACACACCCTCGGAACAATTACTGCAACAGTTTCAGCTTTTTCAATCAAATTATATATTTTCTTACTTGCTGTTGAAATGCATTAAATTTGATGCATTAATATATTAAATTCATTGACTACTGCATTCCTGAGACCGGATAATAACGTTGAATATATAGACACAGTGGTCTTGTGAACCTGATCAATAATGTACACAGTCTATATGTTAGACACAACAGATATACGGTTGGTCGGGTTAACAACGCATTAATGTTTCAGTGGTGTAACTGCTAAGTCAGCAGATCGGCTTTCATAAGCTAACGGGAATTTATTACCGA